ATTTTTTAAACCCCTTTTGTTTCCACTGTCATTATGCTTTCCATTCTTAAGTTGGGAATAGAGGAGTTGCTTTGAAAGATGACAATCAGGCATCTAAACAACATGACCAGTCCAACGAAGTTGATGTTGAAGAACCATTGCTTTGACACTGGTGATCTTTGCTTCTTCCAGTACACTGGGCATTAGTTCCCCTGTCTTCCCAAGTGATATGTAAAAATTTTTGGAGACACCATTGATGGAATCCTTCAAGGAGTTGGAGATGGTATTCGTAAATGGTCCTTGTTTCACAAGTGTACAGTAAAGTTGGTAGTACAATAGCACTGTAAACAAGCATTTTGGTTTCCCTGAGAATGTCCCAGTCCTCAAACACTCTACTCTTCTATCCAGAGAAAACTGCACTCACAAAGCTCAGGTGATGATAGATTTTGCCATTAATGTTGACTCTTGTGGAAAGATAACTGCCTACGTAGGGAAAATTATTGACATTTGCCAATGTTACACCATTAAGTTGGATTTGTGGCCCTGCGGAGGGGTTGTTTTGTGCCTGTTGGCGCAGCACTTTGGTTTTCTGGATATTGCGTGATAGGCCAAGCTTTCCGTAAGAAAGAAAGCTGTATAAATTAATGCAGATCTGAATCATTTTGTGCCATGAATGTATAATTACCTTAATTGCACAACAGCTTGCAGATTAAACCGCTGGTCTTTTTTCACTGATATGTTAATATCCATTGCACATGTAATAGCCATTAGGAAATGTATCTGCAACAGGAAGCTTGCAGGTATCTGTGGCATCTCTGCACATGCTCTTTTTTCATCGGATTATGGATGGTGCTCAGCCACCCAGAAGGCCAGAGTACTCAAGCCTCTGGCTCTCCATATAAAGAACGGACATGGGGCAAGATTTAAAACAGTCTCTATGCAGTAAATGCTCAAGTGATTCCACCCAGAGTATGTAGTTAACTTTCAAGTATATATTTATTCAAACAATCTGAACAAGACATTCTTGCTGCAAGATTTGTTTTTCTGCCGATGCAGAAATCTCAGACCCACATTCTAATATCCAGGTGCCAAATACAACATTAGCAATCACATTATGATTTGCCCAGAGAGAATTTTTTCCTTTCCCGGAGACTTGGATGCAATTACTGCCTGAGCCAACTCCCAATGAAGTCAATTAGCCCTTAATTAGCAACTAAACCAGTTAGCTGGGATTCATTATTATAATATCATAAAAATGCATAGATGTTTGTAGACAACTGAAATGGCAAGCCACCTATCATGCAAAGTTTACATTACAAAAATGGAATTGTTTAGTTGTCACACACAGGGAGGTTTTTAGAGCAGCCTTTCAAAGGTCAGTATCCTTTTGCTCATGGGTGGGGGGGACAGAATCAAACCAGAGGACTTAAGGTTGGCATTGGTAAGTAGCAAGGGAACAAGAATTAAGGTCAAGCATTTATGAAGGACTTTAGCCAAGATAACTGTTAGGATTCAGATGCAGAGAGAGGCATCCAAGGACTACAGGCAGAGGCAAAACAGTAGCAAGGACCAGAGAGGTATGGCATTAGCATTTGCCTGAAAGCCCTGCTGCAACTTCCCTCCTTCGTGGAGGATAAATTAACCCAAGTCGGAAGCAGAGCTTCTTCGTCCGTAGCTCCAGCCACATTTATCAGACCAAACCACGGATTAAACATCAAATCGTGCTTGGCCAGGGCATTTCATTTTCATAAAAAGCCTTTGCTTGTTAAATTGCTGACTTCACTGCCCTGGACTGGGATTATCACAACTGTATTCCCACCCCCCCCCCAGTTTTTACTCTGCTTACCAAGCTTGCATTAAAGGAGGCACAAGAGTCTTTTAAACAAACCAAAATTATTCCAATAACCAGGAGTGACTTGCCTGATAGCGCACAACTAGCAATAGCCTTCCAGCAGCAGTGTTGTGGCCGCTTACCATGACACTGAGGCAGTGGTGAGGTCAGGGCTGTGCAGTTGACTGGCAGAGCCAATCCAGAGCTTCCACTGGTGCTATTCTGCAACCCCAAACTTTCCTTCCCCTCACTGCTCAATGCCTCCCACTCCCTGCAGTAAGAGGCAGAGATGCTGCTTCCAAGAGGCTATGACTCCACTGGTCAGGCTGCACCTGTCTAGACATCTTACAAATACTGTGTGCCTCTTCCTAAACTGCCAGGTCTTATCAGCAACTGCTGATAACTCTATCAGGTAATGGTAGATGGAGCAATGAAAACAACACAAAACTGATAAAAACGAAATGTTGCTCCTCTTGTCACTGTAACCCAGGGCTTGCCAACTGCATGCATGCACACATACATAATTTGCTTTTCCAAGGAAAAAGGACCAACAGATGGTTTGGGGTTGAAGTATGGGTGGAAAATAAAGGGTTAATGTTGGGACTTTCTGGAGGTTGTATGTAGTATTCACCTAAGTTTTACTGAGAGCAGATGGAGTAGTTCCTAATTTCAGAAACAACATGGTTTCAATTTAGTACAATGGAAATGATTATGTCTTAGACTACAGATGGAAAGACCTTCCTATTTCTGTTCCCTCAGTTCTCAGTGTCACCATCTGAAACTCAGTCTCCACATTTCTACAGCAATTTGCAATAAAAAAAACCTTATAAAAATTACCAAGCACTTTAGTTTGAATTTCTACTAATAAACACATATTTCCAAGCAATATAACACAGGTCCCCCCCGATAAATATGTTTGTTTTTCTGCACCCTTTCTGCTAATATAAGCATGTCTGTACAGCATCACAAAATTTGGGTAAGTGTGGATTTCACAGGATAGCGGTGTTTCAGTTTCATAATGTTTTCAAAGATGTGAATTTGATAGATTTAGCTTTAAATGTGTGCTGAATCAAATTCATACCCTATTCCTATCTTGGACTATATTAAATGTTCTGATTTGAGATTTGCTCCATATAAAAAAGACAGACTGAATATTTTACATCACAAGAGGGTGGCTTCTACGAGCTGCTCCAGTTTCCGGCAGACACTTTATGGCTCTGCAATGCCTTTCCAGACGGGCTGGACCAAGACTGGAGAGTCTGAAATTAAGCAGGTAATTCCTAAACAGATGCAGCTTCTTTCATTCATGTGCCTTGTGATGCAATTTTTGGCCACAATAGTTTGAGGGACTGTCACTCAACCCAGCAGTTTTGGAACTACTTTTCTAAGATGTCTAGATAACATCTTTGGTTAATTAACATTCTATATCCTTTTAAATGTGCTTATAGGAGAGGGATTATTCGTCTGTTATGTTTCCGTTCTGGTTTTTTATTATGTATTTTGTGTTTTTATCTTGTATTTTTATGCTGTGAAATGTCCTGAGATCTGCGGATGAAGGGCGGTATACAAATTTAATAAATAAATAAATAGAAAACAAAGATAGCAAAACCTTTTGTTCCTGATGACGTAGGGTTCTTGACAGCAGCTCTTGGACCAAATAATGTTCACACAGAATGATAAACCTGTGTCTAAATTGCATCAAAGATTCAAAACCCATTTTTAAAGGCAGTGCTGATGGTGTGGAGGGATTGGGACCCTAAACCCTCACCATTGACTCCACTGTTGGACCATCCATTATTCCGACAGGAGGATAAATATGGACGATTTAAAAACGTGAGGAGAAAAGAAACCTTCTGCAATTTCTAAGCATGAGCTCATGGGGAAACTGGATGATGCCCAGTTAACCTGGTTTCAATCTCTTCAGTTGTGCACATTTGCAAGATGCTTGGAACGCAAGGCGGAAGGCCTTCGTTCTCTTACATCATTTGAGTCTTTAACAAATCAAGATGTGAAATAAAAGCAGTTGTGTCTTTAATTTATAGCATTCTTCTAGAACAATATACGGGTGATACAGGAGGCGTCCGGACAATATGGGGAAAAGACTTAGGGATCATAATTGCAGATAATAAATGACAATCAATTTGGCACAACCCATCCCTACGAACCATCTCTGCTCATTGGCAGGAGACTTCTGTTAAAATTATATTTCACTAGCACTGGACTCCTTCATGTCTAGTCAAAATAAGCACTAGCATCTCTCCCCTATGTTTGAAAGGTTGCAGAGAGTGAGGCTCATATTTCATGGTGGAGTTGAACATTGGTATATTCCTTTTGAGAAAAAGTGTTTCACATTATTTCCAAAATTACGCAGCAACCCCTTCCACCCAATTTGGCTCTTGCCTTGTTATCCTTAGACTCAAATTTAAACAATTACCTTAAATTCAGAGGTTTAGTTGTTGTTTTATCAGCAGCCTGATTAACAATAGCCCAATACTGGAAACAACCTATAGATATCCCCATTGAAATCTGGATAAATATTTGGAATGTGGCCCTATCAGAACGCCTTGCTCACTACAGAAGGGTAATTAAAGACATTTCAAGAATAGACACATATTGAACTGATAATGCAGAAATAAACATATTGCTTGTGTACTGTGTACTGCATATGAAACTTAATGTATCACTGGACAAGTTACGGTAGTTATGTGTTGTTAATGTATTTACATGAAAACCAATAAAAATAATTTGGGGGGAAGAAAGCTCCCACCAGGGCATGCCAGGGGTTGACTAAATTGGGTGTGAGTGGGGCCATCTAGAATCATGAGAATAAATAACAACAAGAAGAACAATTTAACACCAAAAGTGTACTTGCCCCCTCCCCATGAATCCTTTGACAATACTGCTGTCTTGCTTTGGCCATATGTCTTTATACATGCCTGGAAACGTTACTTTGTGCCAAGTAATAAACTCTTCTGAAAGACAAATGGCTGGGGAGAGTTTAGCTAACCTGTGCTAGGGAGACCCTTTCCCCACTTTGAACCTGGTTTTGTTCTGCTGAATAGTAGACAGGCTGCTGAAAGTCACACTTTTCCCAAGTACAAAGGAGCACATCTGGGTAACTTTCAGATCATTTAGCCTAGGTAGCAGAATGCCCACTCAGAGAGCAGCACAGACTACATCAGAGCTTTCCCCAAAATCCAGTTTTATTGAAAGAGAAAATAAAACGGCAATTGTATATTTAACTGTCCTAGAGACGAGATAGTAGGAGAGGGCGAGAAGTGAACTGGGTTTCAGCCATGGAGGTTGTGCAGAGGATTGCTTTGGTTTTGGAGAGAGATAAAAAGGAGAAATTTGCAGTAGGACCAAAAAAGAACTGGCAGGAGGGAGAGTTGCAGGTTGCCTTCCTTCTGCTCTTTCTGAAACAGGGCGGGAGGGAGAAGATCTTTAAAGAAGAACTGGTGTGACTGATTCTTTGTGTCTTTCTTTCCTCCTAAATGGAAAGAAAGGGGGTTATGGAAGTTTAAAAAGAGATCTGTCACATCCCCCTGCATGCTTTAAAAATTAAACACTTAACTAGTCATTCCAGCAATTCTTTCAAGTACAGGCACTATTGTGTGCCCGCTTTCTACCTGTGCTCTTACAAATCTTTCAGAAAGACATTTCTCTGACTTATGCTGTATTATGATTGCAGGTAAAATTTCAAATAAAATGGGAAGACACAGTTTATGAAAGATTGAGAAGGGTTATAAAATTTGATTTTTTTTTGGTAAATAATTCATGATGCTCCTTTCACAGCCCTGATAAATTCTCCTCACAGTTCGACTCTTTGGCTATAAATACACTCGGACTGAATACTGAATAGGCTACTTCTGCCCCTTGGGGTGTGATGCCTAGTGGGTTTGTGGGCAGGTAAAATGTGCATGTTTGTTAAATATATGCACACGCTGCTTTCTTGTTAAATCAGGAAAGGAAAAACCAACACTTTACTTTTGTTGAAAAAATTAAGTTTTTCCTTTTTTCCTTTGAATTGGCCATCAGGTAATTGCAGCCCATTTCCAGACAGCATTGGCCATAAAGTGTGCATTGAGCTATATATGTTATGGGAACCCCTGCCATCAAAAACAGTTCCCCAAGTTTGAATTCTCCCTTTACATAATGCATAGTCAGCAGCCTTCATCAGAAGTCCTGACTAGCCCATTTTCCAATGTCACACATACCAGTTTGTCTTATCCCCTGAAATTCATGCAACGATTCCCTAGTACAGATGTTTGTTCTGTACTGCGGGCAGGGCAAGTCAGAGTGCACAATGTCAGGTGTGGGGTTAGTTGATGTAGCCCTACTCCCTCAAACATGAATACAATGCATGAAGAGTGTTCAGGCCTAGCTTCTATAGAGTTTAATTGAAATATAGGTTGGATTCTAGTATGCTCCTATGGCCAGGAAAATAGGGAGCATACTTAAACATCATGTTTCCTACTCATAAAGCACTTGTGATTTAGCACAAATCCTAGCTGCTGGCCTACAGTGTAAAACCAGCAAATTATAAAAGTGGAAAATGAGAAAGGAAGAGAAAAGAGGCAAAGAGTGGAGCTGAAAGGTTTGAGGGAAGAATGTGATTCTGTCTAGAGATGTTTAAACACAAGCTTTTTTCAGTCTTTTAGTCTGAATCAAATGAACATTCATGGATATCATGGTGGAAGGATCCATCCTCAACTATTGTGCATTCAGTTATGGGTCCTGTTGCTGCAATGAGAACCCTGCCTTGTAGTGTGTTGGCTCACTTAAGATGCTGAAATTGAATGCATGCTGTTTCTGGACAGAACCTGCTTCTTCTCTCATGCTTACTTATTCTACCTAGATTGCACATTTGAAAAAGGCCTTTGAAAGAAGGAGTGGTATGGATGTTAAGGGTGGGAGCAATGCGTTCCAGAAAAAACGCATATTGAGATTGGATGGAAGTAGAAAATAGTAGTTAGTTACCCAAATAGAATATATTTGCTTTACATTTACTCTTTGAATCCAACCCAATGTGCAATTAATATCTGGAGGATAATAAGGAAGGCTATTCTTCTGTAGTGAAATGCTAGCATGTTTAGGTCATAGCTCTTAATGTTTCCCTTTTTTAAAGGGAAATTCCCTTATTCCGAATAGGATTCCTTGCAAGAAAAGGGAAAAGTTGACAGCTATGGTTTTAGGTTATTATCATGTTCCAATTAGATTTACGGTAGTTAAAATATTTTTGTGAAAAAATTAACACAGAAAATAGCAGATTCAGGAACAGTTTCCTTCTTCTACTGAAATGGGCTTCACTCCAAAGCAAATATATTCTTCATTTGCCATTCCCCATGGCTTCCCTTTCCACAGCTCCTGTAGATAGCTGAGCTGCTTTGAGAAGGAAGAACACATCAAGGATTCTTTAAGACTTTCCATTGATCTATTTACCTTTCTGTCTCTTTCCTCAAGCATCATGGGATGAAAGTGACCTGGAAGATAATCATCCATCACCCTATCAAATCACCCTTCAGCACTTTGAACAAAGCATAACTGATCTATTGAGCACAGAGAAAGTGCAGAGCTCAGAGATGAGCACACAAAACACGGGGTAAGGGCAACACCCCCTTCTTTTAAAACTGTTTGACAGCATAAGAAATTTGGTGCTCTATTTGATGTGCTTTTAGTCTGATTCACAAAACACTTCATCAGTTTACTTATCCCTACTACTCTAAGTTTTTTTCTTATTTTAAAATCCCAGATTTTGTGTGCAGTGTGTGGTTGGTGGTTGTAGTGATTTGCGAAGAGAGGAAGAGTTGGGAAGAGGTGATGAATGTTGGGTTTGCATGTATGCAAAGTTAACCAGTGACTTAGAATAAGTGCATTATTATGATAGAGATCGATGGACGCACTCAGTTCAGTGATTGCCAGAGAAGGAGCAGGGAGAGGGATCTGACAGAGCTGCAGTGGAAACCTAGTCACACAAGGGAACGCATGAATGCAAATTACCTTGTTTTGGATCACATCAGGGGGCAGCAACCTTTTTCAGCCGTGGGACGATCCACCGTCCCTCAGATCATGTGGTGGGCCAGGCTATTTTTTTTGGGGGGGGGGAATATGAACGAATTCCTATGCCCCACAAATAACCCAGAGATGCATTTTAAATAAAAGCACACATCTGGCCCCCGGGCCTTAGGTTGCCTACCCCTGGATCACATGACAGTACAATTTGGGAAACAGTTAAGGTAGAGAACAAAAGGTGAAATGAAATACTCTCAGCTGCCTGTTCTGTGGAATGGAGGAGGAAAGGAGGCGACTCTCCAGATTTCATCTTGATTTGAAGAATGTGGGGTTCTATGGACCGGATGAAGACTAGGCACAAATTCTTTAGTCTGCCTTAGCTTGTCCACCTGAATATGATTGATAGTAAGACTCAGAAGGGGGGAAAAGCTTCAGGAAAGAGGCTCAGATGATGATGGGATGGATGAAGGTAGGAAAGCTTTTGTAGGTCACCCTAGGGCCATACATATATTTCAGTGGTTAGTGATTCACAAGCTTGGATCGCTTAGAACTCTCATAATATGGTTTAAACATGGGAGGGGGGGAAGCTCCCTTAAGGGAAGAACATAAAACATGTTCCCTTGAGAGGTCCCGGCTAACTTGAAGAAAAGAAACACAGAGAGGAGACAAAGGGATAAGATATAGTTAAGGCTTACAAGGTTTGTTTCCATGGACTTTCATGAAGTTGAGCAGGCTTGCGTGAGAGAAAGACTCTCCTCCTGCAAGAGAGGGGAGTGGTTGCGGTCGGGAGCCGGACTCCGCCGCAAGCAGGGGGCATTAGCCCCCTGCCTCCCACTCACCTGGCTGGCGCCCACGCCCACCGGCAGGCACCCAACCAGGTGCCTCCGAGGGGGCGTGTACAGCAGCCCAAAATGCTGCGGCGCCAGCCCCCCCCCCCGGCCTCACTCTTCGTCGTCCCGTCGCGAGTCACCCACCCTCCCCTCCCTTAGAGCTCAGGGTCTCAGTTTTCTTTGGCCTTGCTATGGACCTTAGGTTGGTCGCCCTGGTTGTCCGGGGGGCCTGGTAGGAATTTTTCCATTTGGCATTAGGCTTTTTGGTTTTTTCGCCTACCTCATAGCAATCGTCACAACTTTTGTGGTATTGGTGGGTAGGTTAGGCATTGGAATAACGTGTTGTGGTATGTCGAAGAGCTAGGTGTGGCCATCGCCTACGCCTTCAATTTTTGGGTATTCCGTTAAAGGAATCCGGCGGTCGTGTGTTCTGTCCGATGCCTGCGTGGTGGGAGGCCATGGCACGACCCTCGGTGACATCAGGGGAGAGCCTATAGTTGGATTAGCATCAACAGGCTCCACCTACTGGTGAATAAACCCCCCTGTTTTAGACTCACCCCTCTCTGAGGGGGTGGAGTCGGCTGACGTAATCCAATGCCTAAGCCAATACCTTTTCACTTGCTGTAATCAATAAAGTTGTGGCCTTTTCTTGCCTATTAACCTTATATCACGTGTCCTTGTGTTTTCATTCCACTAAGCGGGGATCGGGTCCTCGAACCGCAAGCATATACCATTCTCCTAGAGGAATTCCAAAGGTTGAACTGTGGAGAGTCTGGGATAAAAAAACTAAAACTAAACAGGGAAACCATTTAGAGGACATGTCATTTGAGAGACACCAATTAGAGAGCAGAGCCTCCTAGACAAAAAATATTATTAAATCAAGTACAAACTAGACAAAAGGGACATTCAATGACTACTGGCACTGATACTGAGTCATCAGCAGGTACAACAAAGCAGGTATCCTGTCATGGATTGATTGGGTGGTCACAACAGTTTTCTGAACCAATGAAAACAGTCAGATATCGAGGGTGTCCCTTGAGGAAACAAGTGGTGTTTGCTTCCCAGGGAATGCTAATAGTACATTGATTCAATTATCAGTAGAACTTGTTGGTCAGAATGACATCTTTGATCCTAGCAGAGCTAACCAATGCTAGTATAGAGGCATATGATTGCCTTAGATGTGGCAAATAGTGTCAATGACTATTTAGGTATTAGCAGAGGTATGTCTTTGTTATTTTTAGCAGTATTTAACATCTGAAGTTGGTGCTCATGTCCAAGTCCCATGCATAAGAAGAGTAGTCAACCTGAGCCAACGTTTGCTTGCTTTGTTATATTGGCAACTCGTTGTACACAGAGCCGTTAGAGATATCACATTATATGCACAGCACTTCCAAAGTCTTCAAAAGCCTGCAAGTTCCAAAGATTGCAAAAGTCCACTCCACAATAACCAAGAGCAGGGCTTTCAGTGTGGCTGCCCCTGTTCTGTGGAATAGCATTCTAGCCAAGATACAACAATTAAATTTATGAATTTATTTATTATCCCCAATAATTATATACCACCTAATGACAAAAGGCCCCTAGGGTGAAAAATTGAAAATTAAAAACATAAAATGTAACATGATACTAAAATCTAACACATAATTAAAACCAGCAACAGATAATGATATCAGTACAGCTAATATAAAAAGGAGTTAAAAAAAAAAAAGTATTGACCTGGCACCTAAAAAGGGTATCATATCAGTACTAGGCAGACCTTTCTGTGGGTGCCAATACTGAGAAGGTCCTCTCTCTAGTAGCTGACCTCATTTGTTTTGTGTTGTCCACATTCTGTCCTACATTCATATGTGACACAAGAAGAGAAGAAGGGATGTTCAGAACCACAAACCAACCATAATGAAATTTATTGGACATTAAAGACATTTTTGTCTCAGGCATTCCAAACTGGATATATGGATCTTTGTCACATGTGTCTATTCGTATGGTTTTAGTTCTGTTTTAAATGTATCAATACCTTTTTTGTATTTTTTAATTTTTCTTTTGCTGTTTTTGTTGTACATTGCCTTAATGTATAAAGGTAAAGGTAAATGGACCCTGACCATTAGGTCGAGTCGCGGATGACTCTGGGGTTGCGTAATCATCTCGCTTTATTGGCCGAGGGAGCCAGCGTACAGCTTCCGGATCATGTGGCCAGCATGACTAAGCCACTTCTGGCAAACCAGAGCAGTGCATGGAAACGCCGTTTACCTTCACGCTGGAGTGGTACCTATTTATCTACTTGCACAATGACGTGCTTTCGAACTGCTAGGTGGGCAGGAGCAGGGACTGAGCAATGGGAGCTCACCCCATTGCGGGGATTCGAACCGCCGACCTTCTGAACGGCAAGTCCTAGGCTCTGTGGTTTAACCCACAGCGCCATCCGCGTCCCTTGCCTTAATGTATAGAAGGTCATTAATACATTAATGTCACTAAATAATAATAGTACTAGTGGTAGGTCTGACTCACGTGCAGACTTCCAGCTCAACCGAGCTACTCAGTAATGCACCTTTTATATGAAAATAATTCTCCACCTATTTTTCTGCTTCAGTTTTGAAGAGTTGGCTCTTCATACCCTATGTTCTAACATTATACTTTGACCGTGAAAGTATAACTAGCCTGTAGCAGAAAAATGCTATAACTCTCTACCTTGAGGGCCTGTTTAAGAGGCTTCAGAGAATTTACATGATTTTCTGTCGACAATAATGCAGCTCAGTGTTACAATGGTAAAAATAAATTACTGAAGGACTTCGGCATTACACATAATGATCTGCTTTTATAAATTCATTATTGTAGATTGTAATTATGCTCTTGGGTATAAAGGAAGAAGAATCAAAAGAGGAGTGATAGAATTGGTGTACTGTATATCCAAGTTTTCAATTACTATTTATTTGTTTATTCTCAGAGTTAAGGAAAGGAGAGGTATCCTCATGATGTGGCATGTCAAGATATAAAGACTCCAATTGGCGAAATATAAAGGTAGGTATAATTATTGCAAAAACAGAGAAATAAAGAAACATTCAGTTGGTAGAGCATGGCACTCTTAATGTCAGAGTCATGGGTTTGAGCCCCATGCTGGGCAAAAATATTCCTACATTGCAGGGGGTTGGAATAGAGGACCTTTGTAGTCCCTTTATTTAAGATAAATTCCATTCATTTATAGAATTGTTGAAAGCTGTGACTATCTTTCCCCACTGATTTCAGTGGGGCCTAAGTTCTAACCTACTCAGCCAACCCAGAGCCTACAATGGTGGTTTTTGCCTAAGTTTTGTTCCCTTCACTTCTTAATTACTTGGGTATCTGAGGAAAATCCCAGCCATGTTTGGTTTCTTCTGATCTAAGCTATAACCTGCATCAACGTATACACTTATCAGAGCTTGAAAATTCAAACCCATTTTTCTCTCCAACGTAACCAAGTAAACAAAAAACACTAGCATAAGCACTTCCTCTTAAATCTTATTATATCTCCCCAATTGTAGAAGTTTTATATTTAACAGAACATTTGCCATTTCTCTTTTTTCAGCATTTCTGACGTGATTGTTGCCAATTTCATTACAAAACAACATTCACATCTTTCCCACTAGATGGAACTAAAAAACTTATTAATTGTCCTCAGTTTGTTCCCCAAATGTATTCATACCAGTAATTGTTTGCTACACCATGGTTTTAAAAGTTTAATGTCATATAATCCTGAAAATAAAATGTTATGGAAGGGTTTGAGAGAGACTGTCTGTATTATTATTACTACTACTACTACTACTACTACTACTACTACGATTACGATTTAGGGAACAATTAACTTTGACTATCAACAGTCTTTGTGCAAGGAAGAAGCTAGTCTTCATATCTCCAAGTACTACAATAATTCAAACTAAAAGGCAATATTGATTTATTTGTCAGGATATAGACAAAAACATATTCTTCAAACTATCTGACAGTTATCAGAATTCAGAAAGAGCAGCGTTAACCTATTTGTCTTTTATATCCTAGGCAGGATGAAGATCTGCTTGCTGAATGCAAGGGCATGTTGACAATGACTAGAACCACTCAATATCCAAACCACTCAGTATCCTGGGGCTGCTGCACTAATCATTCCATATTAGCTTTAAAGGCTATCAGTGGCTACTAACTATCAGTGGTGGAGCTTCATGCTCCGGCACCGGGGGACGGAGAGCAGGCGGGGGCGGAGCTGGCGCGCATCCCGGGGGCGTGGCGCACCGCCCACACTCCTCTTCCTCTGCCAGTGCTAACCATGATACTTATGTTCTGCCTCCACTATTGGAGGCTGTATGATTCTGAATCCCAGTTGCTGGAAACCGCAGAAGGAGAGCGTGAGGTTGCACTAAGGTCTGGCTTGCAGACCTGCCTTGGGCACCAGCCCAGCCACTGCCAGAACAGGACGCTGGATTAAATGGGCCACTGGCCTGATCCAGCAGAGCTCTTCTTATGGTCTTATATTCTTTGCATTGCAGGGCCGACCCTGAGAATTTACACTAAGGTAAGGAAGCCATTAGCAGATTACAACAATGGCAAGTATTTTTTGCCGAGAGGAAAATGCTCACACATACTCTGTTTTGTTCGACTGTCAGTGAAAATTGACCCGTTTTCAGATATTTGTTAAGCAGTAGACAAGCTGCAGCGTAAGTCCATCTTTTGTTTTAGAATAACAATGACAAAGCAAAATACAGTTAACAATGGGGAAATAGAAATAAGGGCATAAGAAGAGCCTCCTGGATCAAGACATTGGCATATCTAGTCATGGGATCATAGGACCATGGAGTTGGGAGGTATCTTGAGGCTCATCTAGTCCAGCCCCTGCAGTGCTGAAATCTAAACTCAAGCCTCCAGGACAGATGGCCATCCAATCTATGCTTAAAAGCCTCCAAGGAAGGATAGCAAAAGCTCCTGAGGGAGTCCACTCCACTGTCAAACAGCTCTTGCTGTCAGAAAGTCCTTCCACAGTGGCGAGCCAGATGCCCCTATAAGCAAGACCTGAGGACAAGAGCATCTCTCCCCTCCTGTGGTTTTCAGCAACTGGCATTCAGAAGCCTTGCAGCCTCCCACTGAAGAGGCAAAGCACAACCTCCGTAGCTAATAGCTGTGATAATTGATAGCCCTCTGCTCCTCCATGAATTTGTCAAATCCTGTTTTAAAACCATCTAGGTTTGTGGTTAACCCGCCTCCTATGGAAGTGAGTTCCATCATTTAAATATGAGCTGCATGAATAAGTACTTGGGGGAGGGTACTAGAAAACTCATAATAGAAGTCTATATTTGAGTAAGATTTCTAATTGCATGGAACACCCCATGCACATACAGCAGCAGTGTATATATAGGAAGCCTTCCATACATGCAGTTGAATGTCACTGATTCACAGCAAAGGCAGCAGTAAAAACTATGCAGGCAAAATACTTACATTTGCAGTATAACTGGCTTCAAGCATGTGCCCAAAGCTGGAGCAACTGGGGACATGTCTACATCCAATGCTGGTCAAAGGAAGAGGAACAGGAACTAGTATGTGCTCCTTCCACTCTAGGAATGGATAGGAAATGACATCACACAGAGCCGTATCTACCAATTGTATTTCTGTGGTCTGAGTATCTGCCTGTCAGGGCTGGAGTCAGGTGTCGGTCTGCAAGAAAACTATAAGTCATCCAAGACCAGTGAAGTTAACTTTTTAGTCAAGGAAACACAGCTCTCAGCAATTCTGTCTAGGAGGTCTTGCCCTGATGAAGCAGTTGTGAGGACTTCCCAGTGCCCACTAGGATTCCTCCTCTCCAGGGTTTTTCCCTCACAGTCTCAGGATGCGTTTGTGCACAACCACCCTCTGCTTTGCTCATTTCATTTTTGATGGGTTCTCAGAGACCAGGAGGGAGGGGAGCTGGTTGCAGCAGGAGGGGGAGACTCCCTGAACTCTTCAGCACCCCTCCTGTCTCCCCTCCCCTCCAACCTCTGCTTATGCCTCAGAGTCTGAACTATGCTCTGCCGCAGCCTCTTCCTGTTCACTAAACCCTGTCACCTCTTCTGACACCTCCTCCTCCCGCTTTGCTCCTTCTCCCTCTGACCACTCATTGTCCTACCCCCACCAATCCCTTGACTCTGAGCCTTCTTCCCCTGGGGGTTCCCTTGGGGGTTTCTTAGCTGGTGCCTCCCACCATTACTCGGCATCCCTTTAATCAAGCAACTTTGCGAACGCATCAAACAAAGTTAATTTGAAATTAAAATCCTCTCTACTTGAATTATTATAATCCCATTGTATTATAATCCCTTTAACTGATACTGCAGCTGGGCTGTGTGTGCATTTTTGCACTTGGCTCCTGCTGGCAGCTGTTAGGCTGTTGTTGTTTTCACTGCAAAGTAGATCCAACAAGCTTCCCCTCACCCAACCCCTGATGTGCAGCACAGAGTTTCTGAAGCAAAATCAGTAATAAGTAGGAGTCCATATTTGTCAGCAAGTTGGCATATTTGATGAACAACAGCTTTAAAGATTGACTGAATCAACAGTAAGGATGAAACTGGCTCTTTAAAGAGTGCTCTTTTAAGATGAGTCAAGCTTACATGGGAAGGCCAAAGCATTGGAAAGAGACACTGGTCAAACACACTGCTCCCCTGCCCTGCCCCCCGAATCCTGGGAACTAGTTTGTTAAGGATGCTGGGAATTTTAGATGCGTGTGAGGGGCCAAGTGTACTTTCCAATATTATTTCAGGAGAGCCATGCACTTTAAAAGTGTGTTGAATGGGCTTGCTGTTTCTCTGCTAGCAGCAGCTGCTTTTTGCAACCCACACAGCGGAAGAGCAAGTTTGCTCCTGTCAACTCCGCTCAGTGGTTTCCTTTTGCAACTGCCCTTCGCTTTTCCTCCCAGATGCCTTGTTTTGCACCAGCAATTTCATGTGGGAGCCTCCAACTAGGAATGTGGCAACAATTCCACCATGGATACACAGAATGTTGCAGTGTCAAAATACAGGTAAGTTCTTCTAGGCATTACACAGCAAGGGTGAAATGCACACCTGATGTTTCCTCTGGCAATTACACTTTCAGCATCTCTTCTTGTTTGGTTCCCAAGGTTCACTGGGGAGGTTTCTAGAAATAAAAGTTAGTGCTGGGAGTGAATGTTGCCATTTTGAAAATGAGAAAGAGCCTTTGCTCTAAAACTTAGCTTTGTCAATTTTACCATGGCTTTTCAAAAATAATTGTCAGTGGTTTGCTAAGGGAAGCTTGTTAATTTACTTCATATCTTTTAGAGTTTTATCTACTACACCAGAACAGATTCAAAATTTCAAATTATTTCCCAGTTTGCTTTCAATGACCATTTTTAGGAAAAGCTTGCTGATTAGTTAGCTACAACCTTTCTTTAGTTTTCTTATGGAAGGCAAATAGAAAGAAAGGCACTGTCTCTTAAGACTTAAAAAAGCATTTAATTTCATTGCATCTTAATTTATTAATTGACCTACTTTGTGTTACTTCCTTTTCTCCAACCAGTTGCTCTTGTTTCTCTTGTCCAAGAGCTCTCTCTCTTTCTCTCTCTCTCTCCCTCCCTCTCTCTCTCTCTCTCTCCCTCTCTCTCTCCCTCCCCCCCCCCCAGTTTTGCTGCAGGATTTCAATAATTTGTTAACATTGCTTGCATCTTTGATTATTGTGCAATAGTTTAATTGTAAAAATGGGGGAAGACTTGTGTACCTGTAAAATCCTTGGACTCCTACCAGGGATCTTTGTCTTCATCATCACCCTTATTTCTGGGTTGTGACTGACTGATTGCAACAATTGTAATCCTACACCCACATACCTGGGAGCAATTTGCACCAAAATTAATAGGATTAACAGGATTACACAGCAAGATTTTATTAGGAGCCAGACTGGACATGGGACAGGAGGTAAAGATGGGGACCTGCACATATCACTGAGAGGAGAAACTAGTGCATGCACATTAGTGCATTCTGGTGTGCTCTCCCAAATGCACTAGCTCTATTCAGATGCTGCTCACTTTAAAGGGCAGTGTGGGTGCAAAGGGGGTGTGGGACCATCCATTTAGCCAGTGCCTCATCATTACGCACATCAGGCAACTTCCCATGTAGTTGTAAATCTCGCTGCACGATTTAGGGCCCCAGCTGGTCCAATCTTTCGTTGAAGCTCCCAGCCAATAAGGACAAACAACTGAGTGGAAGTTCACAAGATTTATTTCAGCACTGAAATTTGGGTTCAGGGATTCCTTTCCAAAGCTGAACCAGCGAAGCACACACGTTATATACGGAACACACGTTATGTACTTTCTCTACATGTACCCTCCCGCCTCCCCTGTGATCCCTGCTGTGCCCCATTGGTATAAAGGGGTCTTTGTCCTTGTGTGGACATGTTCTTCTTGTGTTGCTTTCTATCAAACAAGCATTTGCATTCTCTAACAATTGTCTAATACAAGCAGACAAAACTACAAGAACAAGAACTTCTGTGGTCAACTCCCTGGCTAGAGGTGGCTGTCAATCTAGTTCAGACAAGTATTGTGATTTAGAGGCAACTCATTGTGTTGTGTCCCTCTTCCCCTTACCATCTTTGTACCTTCTTCAATTCTGGGAAATTAGCTAACCACAAAGCTCATCAGTGTAAGTTCCTCTAATGTCTACTGCAGCTGGTTAAATGTGTCAGGTTGCAGGGAGCTAGGTGTGTCAAGCAAAAGGGGTCTTAATATTTGTGCAGGGTTGAAGAAGCAGAATACAAACATGGCTGAATTTAGGTCAAGGGGTCCTTTTGTGTAGACCAAGGGAGATTGCTAACTTCTGGCCTGGTATCATGGGGTTTCAGTATCACTGCAAGATAATGCTTAATACTGTGGGAAGCCTAAATGAATTGAGTGGTGATGAGGTAGGGACTAACAGTATAGCCCCACAGCCCCTTTGCAAACATGTATACCTGTTCCTGGGCAGGGATAGCTTGCTTACAGTGACCTGTGTGTTGGTAACCTCAAGACTGGACTACTGTTGTGTGCTGTGTGGGGGACTGACCTTAAGCCTGGTTTGGAAGCTGCAGCTTAGTGCAGTACACTATGGCTGGACTGTTGAGCAAGGGTGGGGAAACGTTTCAGCCTGGCAGGCCAGATCCTTAGCTCCGCCACCCCCAGTAGGCCACTTTGACAGGTGGGGTTGTGTACACATCAAGTGACATCACCATGACATCAGATGATCCATTTTTTTTCCATTGCAACATTAACTGGGAGACAAGCCATGCCACAAAGGAATGTTCCCACAGGACTTGAAGTCACCACTATTCAGTCAATTGCTGGTGACTTCCAACCCAACTTAGATCAGCTACACTCCAGAGTTCCTGATCTGAAACTCTGGAGAGCAGGCAATCCCAGGTGGGCTTGAAGTAATCAGGCAACTGACAGGTACTGACCTCAAGCCCCAATTGCAAGAAAGACATTAATAAGCTTACTGCTTTTCTTAAACGTGAGGCTTAATTGAAAAGCACAGGGCATTCAGGTAGATATGGCAGCAATCAACAGCCCAGGGTTCCGGTGCGAGGCTCCAATACTAGTGACTACTGCACATTGCCCCCCCCCCCCAATATATTCCTCTGCTTATTTCCCCCCTGTTTATCTAGTTATAGATCCAGCATAAAATTTGACGTGCCCATTTAACAGTTTCTCTTCACCAACATAGGTTGGCCTAATGACTTTATCTTAGCTGTTGGCCTGCAGTCACATTTCAAAATTCATAGGGTCCACCACCAAATGGCTGCCATGGAGTGGGGGCAAGATAGTCAAGCAAGTGTGTCCCCACCTCCTCTATTAAAAGCTGGAGTGAGCCCTGTTGCTCAAATTCTCCACTTGTGGACTCACTTATGCAGATAATAATAGCTCGTGTGGTTGTGAATGGTGCAGCACAACTCCTTACTCTTATTAACAACTTCAGCAGACTTGACAGCTGAAGCGCATCCTTCATTCTAAATGTAATTCTGAAATTAATCTATTTAAAACAGAATTTAAGAGCTGGAACAGTAAAGATGAGTTGTTTACAGCCTGAGCATTCCCAGATAATTTCAGCCCTGGCTTGCTGGCCTGCATTATATCTCCTCAGAGAATTTGTTCTAGAGCTGAAAAAGTCTTTGCTCCTCGCAAGCACTACTCTTTTAAGTAAACAAAGGAGGAACAGGTCCTTCCAGAGAAGCCTTACATGGAAATGAGAAGTACCATAGTATTTTCCATTATTAAGGCATGCATTATTAACCATGCATACAATAACACCTGATCCAAAAAAACTGAACAAGGTGACCAAGAGAAAGGTTATGAATACATTCCCCTGGGGAAGGCTCAGAAGGCAGGACACTTCTACATTTGGAGGAATTTCCCCCCTGTAATCAGACTGCCAGGAATTTGGGGTTTTGTTTGTTTGCTCGCATGCTTGCTTAAGTATCTGGAGTTTAATTTACTTCTTCTCTTAAGGCATTCTTTAATTTCCCCAGCCCTGCAAACTACTTTTGGCACACTATGATCTTGATGGCATGAGCAAATAGTTTCTGGTTATTTGGTTACTGAAGGTTGATTCTCACGGCAGGGAGCTGGACATTCCATTTTGGAAACCTTCCAGGCCTAGAGTTTTACAGCCATGTCGGCACTAGCTGCTTTGTATGATTAGAGGGAAGTTCCAAGCCACACTGCACTTGCTGGGTCTGTAATCGTCTACTTTTATTTGCTTGATTTTGTCTAATTTGCTTATACTGAATCCAAAATATAAAGAAAGGGTACCTATAGAACTCCTTGCATATACAGTCATACCTTGTTTTGAGGCTAGGATCCGTTCTGGAGCCCCGGCCACTAGCCAAAAAGGACACAGGGCAAAGCATCGTGTCTGCGCAGGCGTGCAGAGCGGTTTGCGCTTCTGTGCATGCGCGAAGCGTGGTTTAGCGCTTCTGCGCATGCACGAGCGACAAACCCGGAAGTAACCCGTTCTGGTACTTCCGGGTTTGCTGCGGATGTTCGCCGGAATGGATGCTAGACGAGGTGAACATTCACGGACACACACACACACACACACACACACTTAAATATAGATAGAGTACCTATAGGCCTCTCTGCACATATCTCTTCTTCATGTTTATGGTTCAGTCTAAACAAAATCAAGCAGATATTGTATTGGTCTGAATATAAGCCTCACCCGAATATAAGTCACACCTTTAAAATTGGAGGCGGGGAAAAGAAAAAATACTCAAATATAAGCCACTCCATTCCTCGCTGCTCCTGGCTTCATACTGGGGGTGGGGAGCCACATTTCCCCTTCCTCGCCCTCTCCCTTCCTGGCCTTGGGGAAGAGGATGAGGGATTACACGAGGGGCAGGTGCCGCTTCACCACGCTCACCCCACGCTCCTGGCTGCATACCATAAGGTCGCAAATAGTCACCACTTTAACTTTTCATGGTCGGAATTTGGGGAAAAAGCGAGGCTTATATTCAGGCCAATACAGTAATATGTTACACCTCTTGTGGGTTTGCTCCATTACAATCCAGAGCAAGTCACAACAAATATTTATCAAAGTAAACATGATGCAGGGTTCCAAAAAACAACTCAAGAGGCAACTCAAAGGCAACCAACTTCATCCAGTATTATTTGTTGAAGGCAAATAAGCATGACAGTTTGCAAAACTCTTCAGGATTGGCATAGTGCCAGTTGCAGCAAAAAAACTTAACAATAAGACTAAACCTTTAACACTTAAACATACAACGTACAGATCACCACACTGGAAATAAGTACTGTAGACAGAACCAAGAAGGAAAGAGAAAGTGAAAGCCAGGATCATTCTGGCAGCATGACCTTGGGAGAAAGGGATACAGGACCACTTTGAACCAGCTTAAACCCAAACAACACCTGCTCTCAGCACAAAGGAAACTTATTTGTTAGAAGAAGAAGGAAAAAAGGCAGCTTGCACCAGCTAGAAAGTGCTAGATACAAGCTTCTATCTTGTATCACACAGAGAAGTTCCCAGAACCATCTTGAAGCAAATAGATTTCTACACATTAGATCAATACTTTTTTGTACTGCAAAAATGGAAGCCAGTGCAACACCATACTCATTATATGTTATATTGCATACCACATCATGTTATATTGCAAGACTGAACAGCATATTGAAGCAGTCATTCATGCTGACTGATTTATGTATTTATGCATTGGTTGCATTCAAGGCAGCATGGGAGAGTTTTTCTCCTTCCCCCTTCCTCTCTTTCCCCTTGCAGCCCTTCCATGCCCCCAAATTCTGATCCAGTGAGCCCCTCAACCTTCTGGAGGGTGATTTTGAGGGTGTGTGGGGACTGTAGAAGGGAGGAGAAGAAAGGGAAGTCTCATTGCGCAAGCAGAAATATGCATGTGTGCAACCCATAAATTTTAGGAGCTTTTAAAGCTAAATTCAAGTCCTGCTTAATTAGAAGGGAAGAATCTGACCATACACTAAAAAAAACTGCCTTCAGCATAGTCAGAATGTTTCACTGCCTACATCTGTGGTAGCAAAATCTGATCATATGCTAGCTAGACTGCTAGACTTTTATCAAACTAGATGGTCTCAAAGCATGAGAGAGTGCTCATATTCACTGTCACATTATCTGATGTTTCAGAACTGTCATTGACATGACAGAGATCAAACTCAGAGGAAGTGTAAAGAAGAATAGAGGTCTCAAAATAGCCCCCGTTTTCTTCCATTAGCATAGGCTTCCAGGCATAGACCACTGCCAAGCTTAGTATGGAAAAGCTATGTACTTTATCAAATTATTGCCCCCCCAAAACATGCATGAGACTTGAGAAGTCAAGTATT